CGCACACATATGACGTGTTCGTTACTGGCTTGAGATCTAATCGCACACATATGACGTGTTCGTTACTGGCTTGAGATCTAATCGCACACATATGACGTGTTCGTTACTGGCTTGAGATCTAATCGCACACATATGACGTGTTCGTTACTGGCTTGAGATCTAACCGCACATAAGTGATGTGATCATCACTGGCTCATAATGCATACTGCGCGCACAGTAGCAGGCCTTAGCTAGCTGTAGAGCATTGCATAAATGATCCAAGGCACAAGAACAGACACCACTTGGTGGTCAATTGAAGCCTGTCTGATTAGATGTTATCAAGACACAAGAACAGACACTACTTGGTGGTCAAAAATTGTTGTCTTAAAGATGTCATCGAGGCAATATGGCAGGCGAGAAACGGTTCAAAAGTACAAATGAGATCATCGCAGTCTCAGGGGAAAGACAGGATGGGCACACACGTATGTTACTGGTACCTTCAGAATCAGAACTCTGTGCTGGCTGCTGAAGATATGGACAGTGCTTATGGGGAAGTCTTGAGTATTATGACGTCGGCTTTATCTAAACTTAGCAAGTGTTCCGTCGTGAGCTAGATGATGTTGATTGAGCTAGACAATAGGTCGCGGTCTACAGACAGACCAGGCCACTACTTGTTAACATTTGTGTTAGTGGACCATTGGGTACAGTGTTTTTGTGTGTCGATGTATGTGTGTTTGTGTGTATATGTGTAAGTGTGTATGTGGTAAGGGGGGATTTGTTTCACTAATTTAACCTGAGCCTGGACTTAACCATACACAAAAACAACTATAACTGAGCTCATTACAGATGTGAACACCGGTGTTAATACAGCCCAGATTAGATTCATGACTTTGATTAAGTTGTCACCTGATAAACTAGGTGGCGCCACTTACTGCCCGGGGCGTTAACATATGAGAGCACGTGCACATTTATTTATAATAAGTTGTATTATTGTGAGAAACAACAGGTATTATCGCTGACATCATCATCAACTAGTTCCATGACTGTAGATAAGGAAAGTTCTCGATAGTTTCCTCAGGATGTCTAATCGACTAAATTGTTATTATAGCTCAGATATTTCATACTGTCTCATTCACCCCATACACTGTCTCCCCACCCCATACACTGTCGACACCTTAACGTCCTCTTTGAAACATGTACAACAGCTCTGATATATGTACACCAGCTCTAAGACATGTACACCAGCTCTGAGACATCTAAACTAGCTCTGAAACATATACACCAGCTCTGAGACATGTAAACCAGCTCTAAGACATGTACACCAGCTCTGAGTCATGTACACCAGCTCTGAGACATGTACACCAGCTCTGAGACATGTAAACCAGCTCTAAGACATGTACACCAGCTCTGAGTCATGTACACCAGCTCTAAAAATGTACACCAGCTCTGGGACATGTACACAAGCTATGAAACGTGTACACCAGCTCTAAAACATGTACACCAGCTCTGAGACATGTACGCCAGCTCTAAGACATGCACACCAGCTCTGAGACATGCACACCAGCTAAAACATGTACACCAGCTCTGAGTCGTTTACACCAGATTTGAGGCATGTACGCCAGCTCTGAGACATGTAAACCAGCTATGAGACATGTACACCAGCTCTGAGACATGTACACCAGCCCTGAAACATGTACAGCAGATCTGAGACATGTACACCAGCTCTGAGGCATGTACAGCAGCTTTAAGACATGTTAACCAAGACTGAGACATTTGCACCAGCTCTGAGACAAAAACACTAGCTCTAAGACATCTACACCAGCTCTGAGACATGTACACTAGCTCTAAGACATCTACACCAGCTCTAAGACATGTACACCAGCTCTGAGACATGTACACCAGCTCTGAGACATGTACAGCAGCTCTGAGACATGTACACCAGCTCTGAGGCATGTACACCAGCTCTAAGACATGTACACCAGCTTTGAGACATGTACACCAGCTCCAAGACATGTACACCGGCTCTGAGGCAAGTTCACCAACTCTGCTCTTTACCAAGTGAATGGAAAACCTTAATTACCTATGAGATGTCGTTGTACACACACTCGCTGTACATACTCAAAGTATACACTCAGTACTTTAATACAAAAAGTGTTCACAACATACAACTACACATCATGGTCACCCTATTCATATACATATCATGGTCACGCCACATGTCACCCCATACAACCACACTTAATGATCACACCCACAACCATACGTTAGCTACAGTTGGGTAGCCTTTCGCACGGCAGAACCACCTGGTTGTGTCACCTGCGAGTAGACTGTCTGAGCTGAAGACAAGTGCTGAAGATGGACCATCATCTGCAGTTGAGCTCCACAAAAAAAGATCAGTGTCCAGCGATAAGACCAGTTGTATCACTGTCCGAAATCTCCAAGAATGAACTTTCTTTGCACACAAATTCTTTTCTACGTTATATATTTTCAAACGGTATTTGTTTTAAAACTCCTAACTCATTCTCCAGTTGTGTTTTTACCACCAAGGAAGGTGAGTCAGTGAATATCAAGGAAAGATATGACTTCTTTGGTTGTGGTTTTGACAAGACAAAGAGAGTGCGATACAAAGGAACTACTTTACCCTGTGTAAGTCTGCATTCCTGCGGGTATTCTTAACTACTTGTCTCTTGTCGGGAGCAGCACTCATTGTCACTTTCTCTTGCCATTATTTCTTTGAATTTCGTTCAAACAATTTCTTTGGAGTGATTATTGACCTGTTTCACTGTAGGAAATTTTGCCTTTTGAAACCGTTGCCCACGAAATGCTAAAGCTGAAGACCTTTCTTTGTGTGTTTAATTAACTGGAACCAGCAAGAAATGCAACTTGATGGGCGATGCGGTTAGCATCACGCTTGCCTCATTTATTTCATGGATTTTATCTGGTTCATGTTTTAAGATTAGTTTGACCTGGAAGCCAAGGTCATTCGCGGTGTCTTCCTGTAACTCTCTGTCCACAATTTTTTCAAATTTTCACATGTTCAACTTTCCTGACCATGGCCAGGCATAATATCTGTCTCCTTTCGAAGTTTTCTTCGGGTCTGTGCGCTGTCCAAGGTGTTTTAAGCATTCTTCTTCATTCGATCGCCTGAAATAGATTATCTATATCTGCAATGGTGTCTCTAGTTTGAACTTCACTGTCTTGTAATTCACTCAGCGACCTGTAAAGTTTGACTTGCACCGATGTTTCTCTTGACCAAAAGGTTTGCCCGGATACGTTGTATTTGGGACAGTCTTGGACGACCTGATCTGTTGTCTCAGGTGCTAGTCTACAGGTGCACATGGCTGATTCGCCGATTTTAAATGTTGTGTACATGTGGCTGCGAAGTCGACTGTCCTGTTCTAAAGCGTAGAATAACAACTTGCTTTTGTCATTTTATAATATGGTAAACGTCTTGTTCCAGATAAGTTACTTTTTGATTGATTAGCTTTTTATCTGCTTCTGTTGATAAGAGACTCGTAAGTCAGATTGTTATCTTTTTATACTTTCCTTAGTTTATCAGCTCTTTTATTTCCGTCATTCTTCTATAAAACCACATTCGCAGGCCTCCAGAAATTGTTCGTCTTGTATGTTGATTGTCCATGACTCAAAGCCATATTTTAAAACTTGTTCTATATAGCATGCGATATTACTTTTTTTTTTTTTTTATCACTTTTCAAGACAGGCGTTTATATTATAAAAGGTTTTTGTTGTTGTTGTTGTTATATGTTTATATATTCAGCTGTAGAACTATTCTATGCTTGGCCTCTGTGATATATTTTTCATCTGAAGACGTCCATGTGTATACATCATCATCATCGTGTAGCATGGCCATCACAGAACGTCGAACATCACAGTCTGCCTGAAAGAAACTCAGTCTCTCGCTAGCTTTGTGTATTTCATATTCAAGGATTCACCTACATCATGTGCCCATGTTAGGGTTGGTCGGCCCCTGCCCCTCTTTCCTGGTAGCATGCGTTCTGCAACTATTTTTGCCAGTATGCCATGGCGCTTGATATGACGAAAATATTTCAGCTACAGAGAGAAGATGCTGTTTATTAGCTAAACTTCCTTGATGTTTAGATCTTTTAAAATGTCAGTATTATTTCCTTTCTTTGTCTATGGTTTTCTGAGGATCTTTCTATAGCATCCAGCTCAAAAGCCATTATTTTCTTTTTTAAGACAGCGATAATCCATGACTCATACTGCAGGAAAGATGCATGCTCTCAAAATTTTAATTTTGATTTCCCTGCTGGTGCTTAACCATAGACTCATAATTGACGCAGACAGTGCTTTCCGTGTGATTAAGCACGACAGGCGACTACTGCGAATGGCCAAAGCTTTAACAATTAAGATCAAAAACCCCCACCCTCCCCCCCCCCCCCCCCTCCTTTGCAAGCAATCGGAATTTATAGAAAATTTGAAGTTACCATGGCAAGTCAAATGACTACAGTGAACTTCCTGTTTACCAGAACACAACACGATGTGTAAAAAGAAACTATTCAGAATCTGAGTTGCATTAATTCAGTTGTGGGCCTTATTTGATGTTGATGTAATTCTGTAGTAACGAACATGACAAGATACAACAAGATACACAAGCAATAAATTGTGCCGTGAGTTATTTGTGTCCGTATTATTTACATTCTTGAGTGAGACCAGGAGCTTAGCCCTGACAGCTTCAATAATGATCGTCATTGTGTTCAATAAAACAGAAATGAAAATGTAAGGGGGAGGGTGGCCGGTGGGGGTGTGGGGGGGGGGGGGGGGGGGAGATAATGCATTTTATGTCAAAAATCTCATCGCACCGTGTTCTGATAAAGATAAACAGATCTTAAATGTAAATCTAGAACACGTACCCTTAGATAATTAATTTGTTTAATTCTCACAATGATATCTATCTAGCACGTGATGCTCAGTCTGTGGGATCATGTTGTTTATTTTCACTCAGCATGACCTTTGCTTGGTGGATAAGACCAGCCTGAGATCTAGACTTCACTGGCAGTGAGAAGACCGATCAGGTATCCAGTTAGGGAATTGTAGCAGCTGTTGGAGTCGCCGCGGATGCTGGAATTGTAATCTGCCTTGATGTAAACTCGGTCGTTTTTCTTCAGGCGCAGAGTCACCGAGTTGGCTGCACAATATAGAATATAGACACAATATTGACAGGGACATATGTGATATAGCGACACAATGTTGGCAGGGACATATGTGGAATAGAGACACAATGTTGACAGGGACATATGTGATATAGCGAAACAATGTTGACAGGGATAAATATGGAATAGAGACACAATGTTGATAGTGATAGAGGTGGAATAGAGACACAATGTTGACAGTGATAGATGTGGAATAGAGACACAATGTTGACAGTGATAGATGTAGAATAGAGACACAATGTTGACAGTGATAGATGTGGAATAGAGACACAATGTTGACAGTGATAGATGTGGAATAGAGACACAATGTTGACAGGGATAAATGTCGAATAGAGAAACAATGTTGACAGGGACATATGTGGAATAGAGACACAATGTTGACAGGGATAAATGTGGAATAGAGACACAATGTTGACAGTGATAGATGTGGAATAGAGACACATTGTTGACAGTGATAGATGTGGAATAGAGACACAATGTTGACAGGGATTTATGTGAAATAGAGACACAATGTTGACAGGGATAGATGTGGAATAGAGACACAATGTTGACAGGGATACATGTGGAATAGAGACACAATATTGAAAGGGACTTATGTGGAATAGAGACATAATGCTGACAGAGACATGAGTGGAAAAGAGACACAATGTTGACAGTGATAGATGTGGAATAGAGACACAATGTTGACAGTGACAGATGTGGAAACGAGACACAATGTTGACAGTGATAGATGTTGAATAGAGACACAATGTTGACAGAGGTAGATGTGGAGTAGAGACACAATGTTGACAGTGACATATGTGGAATAGAGACACAATGTTGACAATGACATATGTGGAATAGAGACACATTGTTGACAGGGATAGATGTGGAATAGAGACACAATGTTGACAGGTATAAATGTAGAATAGAGACACAATGTTGAGAGGGACATATGTAGAATAGAGACATAATGTTGACAGGGATAGATGCGGAACAGAGACACAATGTTGACAGGGACAGATGTGGAATAGAGACACAATGTTGACAGGGACTTATGTGGAATAGAGACACAATGTTGACAGGGACATATGTAGAATAGAGACACAATGTTGACAGGGACATATGTGGAAAAAAGACACAATGTTGGCAGGGACATATATGGAATAGAGACACAATGTTGACAGGGATAAATGTGGAATAGAGACACAATGTTGACAGTGACAGATGTGGAATAGAGACACAATGTTGACAGAGATAAATGCGGAATAGAGACACAATGTTGACAGGGACTTATGTGGAATAGAGACAAAATGTTGACCGGGACATATGTGGAATAGAGACACAATGTTGACAGTTACATATGTGGAATAGAGACACAATGTTGACAATGACATATGTGAAATAGAGATACAATGTTGACAGGGACATATGTGGTATAGAGACACAATGTTGACAGGGACAGATGTGGAATAGAGACACAATGTTGACAGGGACATATGTAGAATAGAGACACAATGTTGACAGGGATAGATGCGGAATAGAGACACAATGTTGACTGGGACAGATGTGAAATAGATACGCAATGTTGACAGGGACTTATGTGGAATAGAGACACAATGTTGACAGGGACATATGTAGAATAGAGACACAATGTTGACAGGGACATATGTGGAATAAAGACACAATGTTGACAGGGACATATGTGGAATAGAGACACAATGTTGACAGGGATAAATGTGGAATAAAGACACAATGATGACATTGACATATGTGGAAAAGAGACACAATGTTGACAGGGACTAATGTGAAATAGAGACACAATGTTGACAGGGATAGATGTGGAATAGAGACACAATATTGACAGGGATAGATGTAGAGTAGAGACACAATGTTGACAGGGACTTATGTGGAAAAGAGACACAATGTTGACAGAGATAAATGTGGAATAGAGACTCAATGTTGACAGGGACAGATTTGGAATAGACACACAGTGTGGACAGAGATAGATGTGGAATAGAGATACAAAGTTGACAGAGACATATGTGGAATAGAGATACAATGTTGACAGAGACATATGTGGAATAGAGACACAATGTTGACAGGGATAAATGCGGAATAGAGACACAATGTTGACAGGGACTTATGTGGAATAGAGACACAATGTTGACAGAGACATATGTGGAATAGAGACACAATGTTGACAGGGATAGATGTGGAATAGAGAGACAGATGTGGAATAGAGACACAATGTTGACAGAGACTGATGTGGAATAGAGACACAATGTTGACAATGATAGATATGAAATGGACACACAATGTTGACAGAGACAGATGTGGAATAGAGACACAATGTTGACAGGGACATATGTGGAATAGAGACACAATGTTGACAGAGACATATGTGGAATAGAGACACAATGTTGACAGGGATAGATGTGGAATAGAGACACAGTGTTGACAGGGATAGATGTGAAATCGAGACACAATGTTGACAGGGACCTTTGTGGAATAGAGACACAATGTTGACAGGGGCAGATGTGGAATAGAGACACATTGTTGACAGAGACTAATGTGAAATAGACACAATGTTGACAGGGATAGATGCGGAATAGAGACACAATGTTGACAGGGATAAATGTGGAATAGAGACACAATGTTGACAGGGACATATGTTGAATAGAGACACAATGTTGACAGAGACATATGTGGAATATAGACACAATGTTGACAGTGATAGATGTGGAAAAGAGACACAATGTTGACAGGGATAGATGTGGAATCGAGACACATTGTTGACAGGGACATATGTGGAATAGAGACACAATGTTGACAGGGATAGATGTGGAATAAAGACATAATGTTGACAGGGACCTTTCTGGTATAGAGACACAATGTTGACAGGGGCAGATATGGAATAGAGACACAATGTTGACATGGACAGATGTGGAATAGAGACACAATGTTGAAAGTAAAAAGAGAATTAAACATGGCTATCTTCATAGTCTCACAGAAGTATAGAACCCAATTTTAAACTGCGGAGGCGAACAATAGACAGCCAGCGGAAAATGATGTAAAAGCTGCAGAGATGTAGATTAACGGGTGAACGGTGAGAAGAAGAGGAGCAGATAACAGTGTCATGACAATATCAGAGCACGTTCACGGACTTGGAAGAACATAACTGTTTGGCTGGTTAGTTGGCTGGTTGACGGGTCGTTGGGAGGGTCATTCATTGGCAAATGGGTATCTGGTTGACTTTGTCTTTGGTAGAAGCGTTGATAGACAAGTTGTTTACTAGGATTAACTTATTCGTACTCTTCAGTTCGATCTTCACCTGGCTGGGCTATAAAACAAAGCAGAGCTAATGACGAGAGTTAAAGGTACATGCTAGTTTAGCTTTGTCATACGTTATTGAGGGGCTGCGTGTCGGCTGGGAATTTTTCACGTGGACTTCTAGTCATTTTCCCTGATCTTTGAGTAGTTAAACCGGACGCCCGTGTGCATCGGTGAGCACGTAAAAAATTCCCTCGCAGTTATGAATGGAAAGAGTAGCGTAACGGCGCTGCCCTGGCAACATTCAGAGTGTAAAATCTACCCAAAGTATTTCAGGATTATCGCCGGTGCTGCAGAGTTTGTGCACTGCGCTGTGATTTTCGCTCAGGCTTGAGATGGAAGAAGAACAGGGCACTTATGGGTTACACCCGTCTGTCGTGATGTTAATCCGTTGTAAATAAACACCATGGTGGTTTGGAGAGAACGGTAACGGAGGGTGCAGTTTCCTAAAATTGAGGCAGAAGCCGACCCACTAGGGTGGATAGAAGCCGACCCACGAGGGTGGATAGAAGCCGACACACGAGGGTGGAGACGAGACAGTGAAGATTCATAGGTTATGAAAGCACACAGGGCTGGAGAATTCGCTAGAGAAGGGGAGTCTCCCAGGCGTGCAGTGAAGGGAGCGAAGTTCTGTAAATGATATGATTTAGTGAATCATGTGTGATATGGATTTTGCTCACTTATTGAAATAAAAAAAAAACCCGGCACGTTTAACTAATTAATTTAAAAAAACCGAAAAAAAAAACGTTTTGGCTAGAAAACCTTCATCAGCATATCACTAGACTGTCAATGACACAACTATACTGGTCTTGCTGTTTCCCTATGGTAATTCCGAGGCTTTATTCTGGGGCGTGGGGTGAGGCTGGAATCCACCAACTGCCCTTTATAAGCAATACATGAAAGTTGACTAATTGGTGTCTTGTTTTTGTTAATCAAAGCCAAGCTGTAAACCTCAAAACACCGTGTTAAGTGCCCTTTCAAGGGGCGAACTTAAGAGAAAAGGGTTTTGCTGTTTAAAGAATATTCACCACTGAAAAACGACCGCTTGCTAACGTCTGCCCTTTTCTGGACGAAATCAACACATTAGTGCCTCCTCTTCGAGAATAAACTAATTGCAGGGAGTGACCCTTAAAGGTACGCTATTTAAAAGGCAGGGGGTGATGTGGAAAGATAGGCTATGTGGGCGGCAGTGGGTGATCCGGAAAGTTATGTTAGATGTAGGTGGGGTGGAAAAAATTGAATTAGGATTAGAAAAGTTTAACTTGCAGGGCAAGTAACGAAATAACAATTTGTCAGACATCTATTTAAGATGAAACTGTGTTGCACATTGAGGCCGTTGGTAGATAGAGACAAGCACTTACATCCGGTGCCCACGTTGTCTCCCTGCTGCTTGCCTGACGCTGTGACGATGGGATTGTCATTGTGGTACAGTGTGAAGCTGATGTCGTCACCCGGCTGTGGTTGTACATGGACGTGAAACACGTACAGGCCTCCCTGTCAGTAGCACAAAGAGACAGATGATCCAGGTGTGTCACATGATTACATGTGAATGTGTCAGTGGCTTAGTGTGTGAGTTAGTTCATTAGTCAGTCAGTCAGTGTGTGAGTTAGTCCATTAGTCAGTCAGTCCGCCATGGGACAGTCAGTGTGTGAGTTAGTTCATTAGTCAGTCAGTCCGTCCGCCATGGGACAGTCAGTGTGTGAGTTAGTTCATTAGTCAGTCAGTCAGTCCGCCATGTGACAGTCAGTGTGTGAGTTAGTTCATTAGTCAGTCAGTCAGTCCGCCATGGGACAGTCAGTGTGTGAGTTAGTTCATTAGTCAGTCAGTCCGCCATGGGACAGTCAGTGTGTGAGTTAGTTCATTAGTCAGCCAGTCCGTCATGAGACAGTCAGTGTGTGAGTTAGTTCATTAGTCAGTCAGTCAGTCCGATATGGGACAGTCAGTGTGTGAGTTAGTTCATTAGTCAGTCAGTCCGCCATGGGACAGTCAGTGTGTGAGTTAGTTCATTAGTCAGTCAGTCAGTCCGCCATGGGACAGTCAGTGTGTGAGTTAGTTCATTAGTCAGTCAGTCAGTCCACCATTGGACAGTCAGTGTGTGAGTTAGTTCATTAGTCAGTCAGTCAGTCCGCCATGGGACAGTCAGTGTGTGAGTTAGTTCATTAGTCAGTCAGTCAGTCCGCCATGGGACAGTCAGTGTGTGAGTTAGTTTATTAGTCAGTCAGTCAGTCCGCCATAGGACATTCAATGTGTGAGTTAGTTCATTTGTCAGTCAGTCAGTCAGCCAGTCCGCCATGGGACAGTCAGTTTGTGAGTTAGTTCATTAGTCAGTCAGTCAGTCCGCCATGGGACAGTCAGTGTGTGAGTTAGTTCATTAGTCAGTCAGTCAGTCCGCCATGGGACAGTCAGTGTGTGAGTTAGTTCATTAGTCAGTCAGTCAGTCCGCCATGGGACAGTCAGTGTGTGAGTAAGTTAATCAATGCGTCATTGAGACAGTCGATGTGTGAGTAAGACAATCAATCCGTCATTAAGAGAGTTGGTGTGTTAGCAAGACAATCAATCCATCGTTGAGACAGTCGGTGTGTTAGCAAGACAATCAATTCGCCATTGAGACAGTCGATGTGTGAGTAAGTTAATCAATGCGTCATTAAGACAGTCGGTGTGTGAGTAAGTTAATCAATGCGTCATTGAGACAGTCGGTGTGTGAGTAAGTTAATCAATGCGTCATTAAGACAGTCGGTGTGTGAGTAAGTTAATCAATTCGTCATTGAGACAGTCGGTGTGTGAGTAAGTTAATCAATGCGTCATTAAGACAGTCGGTGTGTGAGTAAGTTAATCAATGCGTCATTAAGACAGTCGGTGTGTGAGTAAGTTAATCAATGCGTCATTAAGACAGTCGGTGTGTGAGTAAGTTAATCAATCCGTCATTGAGACAGTCGGTGTGTGAGTAAGTTAATCAATCCGTCATTGAGACAGTCGGTGTGTGAGTAAGTTAATCAATGCGTCATTAAGACAGTCGGTGTGTGAGTAAGTTAATCAATGCGTCATTAAGACAGTCGGTGTGTGAGTAAGTTAATCAATTCGTCATTGAGACAGTCGATGTGTGAGTAAGTTAATCAATGCGTCATTGAGACAGTCGATGTGTGAGTAAGTTAATCAATGCGTCATTAAGACAGTCGGTGTGTGAGTAAGGAAGTTAATTCAGTGTCAGTCAGTAAATGAGAAAGTAGAAATAAAAGACGCTTCACCTCCTCTTCATGTGTATTGGGCGTATAGGGCTAGAACTATATTATATAGACCAATAGGGACCTTGTTTGCGATATGGTCAGCATCACGACGGCAGTCTTTACTTTCTATTTGAGGCTGAGTCAACCCGGAGCCAATGCCTTTTTTTTATTATAAATCCGGCTCCATCTGGACCCGATCCTACCCTTTACCACCCGATTTTACCGGATTCCACCAGATCCCAACGGATCCCACGTGAGGCAACGAATGAAAAGATAAGTGAATATATAAGCCTCTGAATTATCAAGTGAATGATGGAGTGATTTGGTAAGAGAGTGATTAAGTGAGTGAGTAGGTGGGTGAGTGAATGATTGAGTGATTGAGTAGTGGGTGAGTAATGAGTAAGTAAATGAGTGAGTGAGTGAGTTTGTGAGGGAGTGAGTTTGTGAGTGAGTAAGTGAGCTAATAAGTTAGTAATGACAACATGAACTCATCAAGCGACAAAATAAACCTGACCGAGAGGGATCAAAGGAAATCTACATGTGCCCAGTGGTCAACAAGGTCAGATGTTTTCACTCCTACTCTGATCATCCGGACATCCTGCTGATTGGGCCTAGAGTCCATCTTGGACCAGTAAAGCCCATATCCTTAATCAGCTAAAGCAAGTCTTTTTTTTTTCAGCTGTGTTCAACGTTTGTTTCGTTTTGCATTTACATTTTACGTAATAGGATAACCAGCGTGTCATCAACCATTCTTAATGGCCTCCTACGACACGCACCGTCAGTGACACTGTTAGCATACAAACGTAGTGGCCTCGTAGGACATAACTGACCAGTGATACAGTTTTCGCACACTCATAGTGGTCTTGTAGGACATAACTGGCCAGTGATCCAGTTTTCGCACACTCATAGTGGCCTCGTAGGACATAACTGGCCAGTGATCCAGTTTTCGCACACTCATAGTGGCCTTGTAGGACATAACTGGCCAGTGATCCAGCTTTCGCACACTCATATTGGCCTTGTAGGACATAACTGGCCAGTGATCCAGTTTTCGCACACTCATAGTGGCCTCGTAGGACATAACTGGCCAGTGATCCAGTTTTCGCACACTCATAGTGGCCTCTTAGGACATAACTGGCCAGTGATCCAGTTTTCGCACACTCATAGTGGCCTTGTAGGACATAACTGGCCAGTGATCCAGTTTTCGCACACTCATAGTGGCATCGTAGGACATAACTGGCCAGTGATACAGTTTTCGCACACTCATAGTGGCCTCGTAGGACATAACTGGCCAGTGGTCCAGTTTTCGCACACTAATAGTGGCCTTGTAGGACATAACTGGCCAGTGATCCAGTTTTCGCACACTCATAGTGGCCTTGTAGGACATAACTGGCAAGTGATCCAGTTTTCGCACACTCATAGTGGCCTTGTAGGACATAACTGACCAGTGATCCAGTTTTCGCACACTCATAGTGGCATCGTAGGACATAACTAGCCAGTGATACAGTTTTCGCACACTCATAGTGGCCTCGTAGGACATAACTGGCCAGTGGTCCAGTTTTCGCACACTCATAGTGGCATCGTAGGACATAACTGGCCAGTGATCCAGTTTTCGCACACTCATAGTGGCCTACTGCGACTTGACTGGTCATTGACACATTGTGACCAATCGTGGTGGCCTACTAGGACATGCATGGTCAGGCTGTGACCAATCGGTGTGACCTCCTACAACATGAATGGTCAGTCAAACTGTTTGTTTCCGATCGTAGGGGCCTCCTACGACATGAATAGTCGTAGTGGCCTACTGCGACTTGACTGGTCATTGACACATTGTGACCAATCGTGGTGGCCTACTAGGACATGCATGGTCAGGCTGTGACCAATCGGTGTGACCTCCTACAACATGAATGGTCAGTCAAACTGTTTGTTTCCGATCGTAGGGGCCTCCTACGACATGAATAGTCAGTCAAACTTTTTGTTTCAAGTCTTTGTGACATCCTACGACATGAATAGTCAGTCAAACTCTTTGTTTCCGATAGTAGTGGCCTTCTCCAATATGAATGGTCAGTAACACTTTGTGACCACTTTTAATGGCCTCCAATGACATGAAGGGTCAGTGACACAATTACTTTTTTTTTGCCTCGTATTTTTTTTCCGGGAACAAACAGGCCGGGCCAACGGTGGTCATGTGACCCCGGAATCGCTGATGTAGCGCGTTCTGTGATGTCAGTTGGTAAGGAAGATGATGGCGGCCGTTGTGATGGTGATGATAGGGGGTAGTGACTGTGAAGAATATAGTGGTTGTGGTGGTGGTGATAGTGGTGGTGGGGGTAGTGACTGTGGAGATGATGGTGGTGGTGGTGATTGTGGAGATGGTGATTGTGGTGGTGGGGATAGTGACTGTGGAGATGATGGTTTTTGTGGTGGTGGGGATAGTGACTGTGGAGATGATGGTTTTTGTGGTGTTGGGGATAGTGATTGTGGAGATGATGGGGATTGTGGTGATGGTGATAGTGATTGAGGAGATGGTGATTGTGGTGTTGGGGATAGTGATTGTGGAGATGGTGATTGTGGTGTTGGGGATAGTGATTTTGGAGATGGTGATTGTGGTGGGGATAGTGTTTGTGGAAATGGTGATTGTGGTGATGGGGATAGTGATTGAGGAGATGGTGATTGTGGTGTTGGGGATAGTGATTGTGGCGATGGTGATTGTGGTGTTGGGGATAGTGATTGTGGAGATGGTTATTATGGTGATAGTGATTGTGGAGATGATGGTGGTGGGGATAGTGATTGTGGAGATGATGGTGGTGGGGATAGTGATTGTGGAGATGGTGATTGTGGTGATAGGGATAGTGATTGTGGTGATTATGGTTGTGATTGGGATGGTGACTGTGGAGATAATGGTGGTTGTGGTGGTGGTGATGGTGACTGTGGAGATAATGGTGGTTGTCTTTATGGTGATGATGATGATGATGGGGATAGTAACTGTGGATGACGACAATGATGATAGAGTAACCTTATGAGAAGCTGTAAAGACTCCCGTCTCGCTGTTGTAACCGTCGCCGTGGTTTGTATAGACCACTGGATACTTGACGATCTGTCCGCCTGGGGCGCTGGTGTTCTCGTGGAACACAGCACTAAAGGCCACATTTCCAACTGTGGATAGACAAGCCAACAGTTTGATGACAGAGATACAATGTAAGTCAACTATATTCGAAAACAAATGCATAAGGAAACCGATGAAATAGAACAGGATGTATTTAAGACATGCGGCACAAGTGGACGAACTGTGGTGTCAACAGTTGTCAATCTCAGAAGGTAGCGCTCTTCTGGCCTTGTGGTGATGATGTATTGGCATTGTATGGTAATCACATAGACTGAGCTAACAAGAAGGACAGAATAAGATATACTTTCATGAAAGAGACCTAAGACACTTAACTACATTGGGTACACGAACACTTTTATAGAATAGAACGCAATAAAGAAACATCATGAGAGCCATATAAAAGTCCATAGGGAGTTCCCAGTGATAAAACATGTCTGTTCCTGTAATATATCACTCAATAACTTGAATGCGCATTAGGAAAACAAGAAAAGCACCTGGACCTGATCATCTAACTCATTAAATAATAGAACACCTGGAACCGGCTGCTAGGCAACGACGTTTAGAAATGATCAGTCAATCCTAAACCCAAGGACTGCTCCTAAAGGAATGGAAGGAGGCAGGTATAGTTTCCTAAAGCAAAGAGGGGAAAGCAATGGAAAACAAATTCAGTTACAGCCCCATAAGCCTCCTAAGCTGCGTTAGAAAGATCATAGAAGGATTCGTGAACAACAGGTTACCTAATTTCATGGAAGAAAACAGGATGCTTGACAGACAATCAGACTTCAGGAAATACAGAAACACTGATGACCAAAACTTTTATCTCGAACAAGAAACTGAAGATGCTTTCCATTACAAACACTGCTAATTACAATTGTGATCTGACCAAAACCTTTCACAAAGTCTGAAAGAAAGAACTCTTGCTAAAACCAACACAAAGTTGGTTAAAAGAGCATATGTTTGGCTGGATTAGAGACTTTCTTTACAGCCGCTGCCCGAGAAAGGCTGGAAGAACACAAGAACAAGCTGGTGAGGTTACACGAAGGTGTCCCCAGGGAGCTGTTATATCTCCTACCCTGTTTTTTCTCTTTATCAATGGCCTCCCCAAAAAGATCACGACTCACATTCACAAGACCCTACATGCAGATGACTTGGCCATATAAACCCAGGCTGAAAATGTAAGAACAACTAAAACAAGAATGCAGTTAACACATCTAAGAAATGAGCAGAACTTTTGGGAGTCACAATAAATCAGACCAAAACGTTCTCCTCTCTTCTCTCTTTCCTCAAAACTTTAACATAGAACAAGGGGATCTGTACCTAGAAGGCAATATCCTTCCAAAAGAGAACAACCCCACATATTTGGGAGTGAAATTTGACAAAACACTAACCTGGGGCCCACACATTAAAGACACCCACAGAAAAGCTACCTTGTGGCTCAGACTTATAAAAAAATTTACTGAAACAAGCTGGGGTGCAGATGCCAACACAGTACACCAAGTATATACAGGATGCGTACGACCAAAACTGGAGTATGACATGGAAGCGTAGTTCACTGCAACCAAATCAAATCTATACAAACTAGATAAGATACAGAATACAGGTCTCAGAAACATCACCAGAAGTATAAAAGTATGTACAGCACACCAATTAAAGAGCTGGAGGTAATTTATGGCTTTGAGCTCTTGAACCATCAAAGGGAACAAAAGGTGCTTACACTAACAGACAGATTTTAACGCATCAACAACCCCATGCATAAAATGGACAACAGCACACGTAAAACCGACTCCAAATACAAAGCTTGCACTATATATCACAATAGTTCTGCACACACACAAAAACAGTGGCATCCTTTCTAAAGATGCGTCAACGTCAGAAATGATCGTGACGTACAGCGAAGACCTATTGGAGAAAACAAACCAACACTTAATCTTTACAAGACCTCATCAGCAGACTCAACAGAAAACAACATACAACAATTTTCCGTCTACGAACAGAATACTGCAGGTTCAGCTACCAAATTCATGAAATAAAGACAGTACAGTCCACACAGTGTGCCTGTCATACAGGACCACAAACACTTGAGCACATTCTGCAGACCTGCCCACTCTACCTACAACTTTTTAAAAAAAAACCTGGCCTCAACAGCAAAGTGCAGAGCAAGCTACGGGGGACCTTGAAGGACCTGCTGCTGACATGCGAGTTTATAGAGGAAACCCATCTGATGGTCTGACCTGAGCAGACAAAACCGAACACAAAGTCGAAGAAGTAATAAATGGCTCAGTAGAACTTGTTAGAACCTGTAATGTACGCCTGCAGAGACCAAACAATCATCATTATCACAATCCTATAATAATACGAACACAAAGTCGAAGAAGTAATAAATGGCTCAGTAGAACTTGTTAGAACCTGTAATGTACGCCTGCAGAGACCAAACAATCATCATTATCACAATCCTATAATAATACGAACACAAAGTCGAAGAAGTAATAAATGGCTCAGTAGAACTTGTTAGAACCTGTAATGTACGCCTGCAGAGACCAAACAATCATCATTATCACAATCCTATAATAATACGAACACAAAGTCGAAGAAGTAATAAATGGCTCAGTAGAACTCGTTAGAACCTCTAATGTACGCCTGCAGAGACCAAACAATCATCATTATCACAATCCTATAATACCACGTGTCAATAGGTCAATAGTTGATGTTAACTGTCAAACCAGTTCGCTCCCCCTCTGGCCGGGAGACACTATCTACAGACATGGTGGCGCTAAATCTGAAGCCTGTACATTCAACCACATCCTGTGTCCAGATCTTTCTTGTTCTTCCTCATCCCCCCCCCCCCTCCTCTAGAGATCCATGTAGTGTTGTTGTTGGCAGACTGCTAGGTTTCGCCACTTCCATTGTAGTCTTTCCGCCCCACCCCCCTCTCCCTTGGTTTGCAGTATCGTGAGTGATGATAAGGCGAAATTCATCACTTGTGATGTGATCTCTGTGTGACCAAAGATTTTCTGAAAAAACATCTTATTTGTCTCTGTGTGACAGACCAAAGATCTTGTGAAAACATCTCATTTATTTCTGTGTGACAGACCAAAGATCTTCAGAAAACATCTCATTTGTCTCTGTGCGACAGACCAAAGATCTTCTGAAAACATCTCATTTGTCTCTGTGTGGCAGACCAAAGATCTTCTAAAAACATCTCATTTGTGTCTGTGTGACAAACCAAAAATCTTCTGAAAACAAAAAAAATTTGTCTGGTGTGACAGACCAAAGATCTTCCAAAAACCTCGCATTTGTCTGTGTGACACACAACAGATGTTCCGAAAACATCTCATTTGTCTTGTGACAGACCAAAGATCTTCAGAAAACATCTCATTTGTATCTGTGTGACAGACCACAGATCTTCTGAAAACATCTTTTTTGAATCTGTGTGACAGACCACAGATCTTCTGAAAACATCTTTTTTGAATGTGTGTGACAGACCACAGATCTTCCGAAAACATCTCATTTGTATCTGTGTGACAGACAACAGATCTTCCGAAAACATCTCATTTGTATCTGTGTGACAGACCACAGATCTTCTGAAAACATCTCATTTGTATCTGTGTTACAGACAACAGATGTTCCGAAAACATCCCATTTCTTAGGCTTATTTCCTGCAATCAAGTTCTGATTTCAAGATGTTTCACAGATGTACTTGATGATACTGACAGTGGATACTGTAGTCAGTCAAAGAACACCGTATTATCTGTATTCTTACGTCTGTACACCACCTGTCGTGTAAGGTAACAAAGGTGCTTAGAGTCGGTAATCTCACGTCTGTACACCACCTGTCATGTAAGGTAACAAAGGTGTTTAATGTCTGTATTCTCACGTCTGTACCACCTGTCATGTAAGGTAACAATGGTGTTTAATGTCTGTATTCTCACGTCTGAACCACCTGTCATGTAAGGTAACAAAAGTGTTTCAACACTGGACTACTTACTGACTTCTTCCCCGCTAGCTACTGCCACCATGGCCGCACCAAGAATTATTGTCAGCAACATGATGATAATCAGCTGTCAGAATGAAGTGAATAATGTCAATAATAGGTATAATAGTTCACACTTATGTATAATAATATGTCAGCAGATATCTATTGTTTTATGTCCTTGTCATAAACTGAGACAAACCTACATCACAATTTTTTTGAATCCACTCTTTTTCCAGCAGCGTTAAAAGTTCTAGTGCTGCCTTCATCGACAGCGCTCAGAATCTGGTCGGGCCATCAGTTGTGTGTCTTGGCTGCCGCCCTAACATTCGACTTATGTGCTAATACTGGAGGAGTATAGTGACTACAGGAGTAAGGTGACTGTATGAGCCAGGTGAATGTAAAAGTAAGGTGATTTTAGGAGTAAGGTGATTGTTGGAGTAAAGTGACTATAGCAGTAAGGTAGCATGACAGGGGATCAACCCCAGATCCTCTGTAGTCAGGCTTACGCATACTGGCCAAAATAGGCTTTGGAACCTCAAGGCTCAGGTCCAATAAGCTCTTTGTTGGAGGCGCCTTTTTCAAAAACCATTCCCGCGACTTCAGGTAAACCAATGGAATACTAGCTGCCTTCAATTATCCAATCAAGTCCGTGTAGTAACTTACAATAACAGTAAACAGTGGTTAGTGTATATGTTTTCTAGGGAGAAATCGACACCGGTAAAGGTGTTAACTTGGAACATGCAGGACGTTGTTTACTTAGGCGCCAGATCTAAAGAGGGACCGGGGGTGGGTGTGATGGTTGAATTCAGGCCTTCCAAATAATGTTGTCAGAAGAATCAGATACTCTTGTAACTACGTAATGACATTTACCGATACATTTGATACGCTTTCAATTCTCAAAAAATGAATGCTTATAGATGTAAGTGTTTTAAGTATATTATTATATTTACTTGTCATTTATTCCAATAACAGTAACATTATATTTACTTATCAATTATCCCAATAATAATAACATTAGAAGAAGAATCATATAAATGGCAAACAAAATTATTATTTACTCGAAAAAATATGAAATGTATGAACACATACTTTTAAAAAAAAATGTCTGAACAAAATTATTGGGGTGGGATGGGGCTGTGTCTTCCCCTTTCTCCAAACTTTCCTTAATTTTTTTAGGCTGGAGGGGGGAGGGTAGGGGTTGAGCTTCTTATGTTAACTTGGTGTCGGCGCGCCAACTGGCCCTGTCAAGTATCAGCCATTGACTGTTCAGCTCTTCCCTGCTAACTGTACGCGTCTAAAGTACCCCAAGGAATGCAAAGAACCTGTCGTCATTGGACGAGCGTCCTTAGCAACCTTGGAGTCAACTAGACCTTGGTTATTCATCGCCGCAGTTTGTGTCGTCATGCTGTCTCTCTCAGTGGGCGCGATTATGTTTGACAGTGTCACTCTTCTTCAGCGAGGCTGCGTCCATTCTATGTTGAGGTTAAACCCAATCCATGCTGTGTAGATGTGCATTTTCTGTTCTTCCGGCGACTGAGATGAAGAGTGGAGAACATAGTTTTGTGGATAACGATCTTCGTGGTGTCGTTGTTGAAGCAGTGTTTATATAGACACTTTTTCTGTGTGATAATGAGCTTTCGGAGAGCACTGAAAATCTAGATATGGCCGGGTCAGTCTCCTTCTCTCTAGGTTGCTGCACTAAAGCGTCCTCTAAATATCGTTCTACAATGTGTTTGATATGCAGCAGGACATGGAGAATGGCAGTTTTTCTGCATTCCCTCGCCATTTGATTGGGTTACGACACCTTGTCGTCTGCAGACATGGACGATGTTTCTTGTTGTGCTCTTGTTCCAACCTGCGAATAAGCAGCCTTATGGATTGTTCACTCTTAACGAAAGCAAGCCTACTAATAATTGAATTGTACCACATCCATTTATACAAATGTCGTTACATACATTTCTAAAAAAAAGTTTTTCCTAAACTTGCTAAAGTTTCAACATATCTAATAGTTTCGGCTTGCTTTGTTTGATCTGAAAACTTTCTGGTGTCATTTGCAAAAAAATTAAAAACAATTAGTCAGCTCTAGAAACAAAAACAATGAAATACAGAGTTTCTATACAGACTGTGGGATAAAGAGAGGTTTACTGAAAGAAATATTACAGAAAAAAGGCAAGTAACATTTTTTATCTATTTTAGCAGAAAACACGCTCTTTTAACAACAGTATTAGAGGAAACAGTAGAGGCAAGAACGCCAGAAAAAGACAACCATACAAGTCGAAAGACAACATAATGAGACGTATAAACAGCTGTCTGGTAAACAACATTTTAGACAGGCTAAAGAGTGGTGTTGATTTACTACAGCCAGCCTGCAGTGCGAAGATGGCACCTGTGTGAAAGCAGTCTGCAAGTTCAGACATACGCAGACAACACTCTTTGCTACCAAACAATGGTTAGACGGCTGCGGGAAATAACAGCGACATAAGAAGTACTGACCGCCCTACCTCAGTCTTTGTACCCGGCGAGGGCCTAGTAGTTCTCACTTCATCGGCTTTCAGCTGCACGAAAACTGGTACATCCCGACCAGGCAAGGGCATCAACTCCACTGCTTGTTGTGGTTTATTTATGGCGTCCCTAATAGGTCACGGTTGGATTAGTTATTTGAAGTTGTCAGCTTCAAGCCGCCCTACAGGAGGCACTCTCGCCACACGAACACATGTCGATTATTGCATTTTGACTTTGTCAGACACAATTAGCGGAGTATTGACTTTTAGTTTCAAATGTCTGTGCCACCCCTAGCACCATGAGCGGAGTATTGACTTATAGAGTTTCAAATGTTTGTGCCACCCCTAGCACCATGAGCAGAGTATTGACTTTTAGAGTTTCAAATGTTTGTGCCACCGCTAGCACCATGAGCGGAGCATTGACTTTTAGAGTTTCACGTGCTTGTGTCACCGCTTGTGGAGTGCTGTTTCCATAGATTCAACTTATGTAGTCACCACAAGCAGGGTGTTGACTCCTAGAGTTTAAACTTATGAAGCTCCTACGCGCAATGACTTTTAGAGTGCTAACCCCCTGAGTTACTCTAAGTGGAATTTGGCGAGGATAAAACAGTAGAGAAGAAAGAAGAGAAAAGGATGAAAAAAAATTGTAGCTCGAGTAAAATAATATTTGCAGCATCCCTACTTGCTGTAGTGTAACTAGATTCAGAGACGGCGTCACCAAGGCATACACGTTACTTGTAACTTATGTATGTGTGGGGGTACAGTTGTGTGACCCTAACCCTGTGTGACTTACCAGTTTGTCTCGCAGAACTATCGCCTCTGGTGTATCTCTGGGACCTTTATATGCATTGCCATGACATGAAACATTAGAATAAAAGCCTCAGAACACGCCCCTAGGTGGAGCTAGGAGATATGCGACAGAGACGTGTGCAGTGTCGACACTTGGAACAATGAGACAATCGCTGAATGATCAATGCGGGATGTGCGGCGTCAGATTTATGCAGATTGAATCAAAAACTGACATCTGTTATCAGGTTCGATACAATAACTGTGAGGCAGTGAGAGGTGCAGTGAGTGGGGCAGTGTGTGGGGCAGTGTGTGAGGCAGTGTGTGGGGGCAGTGTGTCGGGCAGTGTGTGAGGCAGTGTATGGGGCAGTGTGTGATACAGTGTGTGGGGCAGTGTGTGGGGCAGTGTGTGGGACAGTGTGTGGGGCAG